AAGAGAGAGAAGGTCGGTAAATCTTCTGCAGAAGAGCCAAGAGAAGCTGGGCCCATTGTGCTTGGCTCGAGGGACATATGATTTCAATTCCTCCTGGAGGGCATCAGTGCAAGAGTTCAAGACAGCCTTTCCCGACCAGGCAAGGTTGGTTAGATCATACTGGCAAACAGAGTGTTGCTTCAGAGTCTTATTGGTATCGATGAATCCAACCCCATTTACTGTAAGATCCTGATGCCATCTGTCCATCATAGATTCTGAGACCTGCCCCGGAGCGGTGAACATGTTAATTTTGTTAATGGTGTTAATTTAGTATTAAGATCACCAACAACAAGCTCAAAGATCCCTTCCATTCCATGCTCAGTCATCATACTTTCAAAGGCGATAAGAGAGGCTAACACATGGGATTCAGAGGCATTGGACTCAGTCAAAGTAGAGCAGAGGAGACTGGGGGAATCCTTCAGTCCTTTCTTGCATGCCAATTCAATTGGCTGGAGTGTGGTGTGATGTTTTAGATGGTCGTCTCCATGAAAACCCCTGAGGCATAGGGTGCTTTGAGGTTCATTTCCCAGTCCATCTGAGCCAGATCCTGTCCAGGCTCCAGTGTGGTTGATACCTCCAAGCCGAGGGACTTCTGTAAGCTTGGTCTTTTCTTTGGATTTCCCAATGTGTTGGAGGAGCTCCTGGAATTGAGCTGTAGTCAAGGGTGCTGTAGTCATGGTTGGAGGATCAGATGGTGGGATGACTGGATCAGATTCAAAGAAGGCTTGTCTGAAGCCTTGTGGACTGAACAAGGATGCTGGTGCTGGTGCTGCTGTTGTTGAAGATGAAGATGCTGAGGCAGAGGAAGCGTCGTCAAGGTCCATCAAGTGAGAATCAACAAAAGAGGAGCAATGGCAATGGCAACAATAGCAGGAGCGGCAACAGGAGCGGCAACAAGAGGAGGCCGGTGGATATCCAGTCAATCGAGTCAAGCGAAGCTGGAGTTTGTGAGCTTTCGAAGGGAGCTTCGAAGGATCCGAACGACGTGAGGGATTCAAACGACGAGAACTCGCTGTGGCATTGCGAGTGATCGACTCCGTACGATCTGTACTGTTCGACCACGATGAAGGTAAACGACCAACTGCAAGCCAGTTTGAATTCGAATAATTAAATGCAAGCCAGCAACAACGACCGATTCCAGTCCCAGGCAGCAAGAGACCAATGACAACTGCCGATCGATCTTGGTGTTCGGTCCATCGTCGCTCGTCTTGTTCTTCACGTACGTTCGAATAAAAATGAAAAAGTGAGGAGTTTGTGAAGAAGATATAAGGCACGCATGACTCAGGCAGTTCAAACCGCAAATGGAGCCATTCGAAGCATGACTCAAGGCATGACACACAGGCCGAGCCTCATATATGCAGTCAGCGTTCATTTTTCGATGAATTCTGTTAACTCGATCGCGACCTCTGTTGTCGTGACCGATGAGATGAGGCAAGGCTCCACCGGTAATAGAGATATCAGCAGCATTAGCATTTACAGTAGTAGCAGTAGAAGCAATAGTAGTAGTGGTTCCTGCATCGATCGAGTAAAAGGTGGACTCCCATAGGAGTCCACCGTATACGTATAACGTAGGATCCTCATCGCGATTTCGATCGACGATGGGATGAAATAGGAGATTGCTTACGAGCGAATCAAATGGTTCCTCATTGAGACTACGATCGTCAATAGGATTAAGAACAAGGGGATTGCTTACGAGCGAATCCAAGGGGATCAAGTTGCAACAAGGGGAAGGACTACCGATGCAGATTGGGTTCTGCACCAGGGGATAGCTCATTCCATTGACAACCATAAGGGATAGACGTATAAGAATAAGCATGAGTAACATCTCATAACCTCGCATGCTACCATGCGACAATACCATTGTGCATTGATTAATCTAAAGATCTAAGAGATGTAAAGTTTGTATTTCCAAATAAGTGAGCAGTTATTGATTATTTTCTAGAATAAGCCTGCAAATTGTAAAGCTGTAAAGCTGAATTGTAAGCTGTATCCCGTCGCATACAAGTACGTTGATGAAATCCTGGAAGCCTTTGAGAAGGCATCGCCAGAGGAAGGGGGCACGAAGACTAGAAGTAGTGCAGCCCCGAAAGGCCTATTCACAGTAGACGAATCCTGCAAGAAGCTCCCAACGAGCAAGGCAGACACCTTTCACAGCCTGGTGGCTAAGGTGTTGTTCGCTACGAAGAGAGCCCGACCAGACACAGGCACGGCGATATCGTTCCTCACGACTAGAGTCAAGGAACCGGATAGGCAGAATTGGGATAAACTAGTCCACCTCATGCAGTACATTAGGCGTACTAGAAAACTACCATTAGTTCTCAAAGCCGACGGAAGTGGCATATTGAAATGGTATGTTGATGGTTCTTTCGCAGTCCATCCAAACATGAGGGGTCATACCGGAGGTGGTTTGACCATGGGCACCGGTTACCCATTATCGACTTCGACGAAACAGAAGTTGAACACGAGAAGCTCAACTGAGAGTGAACTCGTAGCAGTTGATGACCTGATGTCATCGATCCTTTGGACGAGGCAGTTCCTTCGGGAACAAGGCTATGTAGTTAAAGAAACTATAGTCTATCAGGACAACAAGAGTGCCATACTTCTAGAGAAGAACGGCAAAGCTTCTAGTAGTAAACGAACGAAGCACATCAACATTAGGTACTTCTTTGTGAGCGACAGAGTCGCAAAGAAGGAGATCAGTGTGGACTGGTGTCCAACTGATGATATGGTTGCGGACTTCTGGACGAAGCCAAACCAAGGTCGACTGTTCAAACAGAATGTGGACAAGTTGATGGGTGTGTGGAACACTCAGAGCCAGGGCACTCAGTAGGAGGGTCACGGCCGGACAAGAAGGTCCGTTCAAAGAAGGAGCGCTAAGCGAAAGCGGAGTAAGTAAGTAAGCATGGTCGACGACTAGGACAAGCTCGACGACCACAGGAGTGTGTTGGGGATTCGCGATTAGGGATTCAACCTGTACCTCTGTACTAGAATTTGATGCCAGTAGCTAAAGCTGGTAGCCCACACCCACTTTTTCAGTAGTATCTCAATAGCAACAGTAACAACTAGAAGAGAGCTTAGAGCAACTAACAAAATTGTTCGGTCAGAAAACTACGGTGTCTCCGTGAGGCACGCCCTCAGTTTGATTTTTAGTCATTCATTGACAAACGAATGGGCGAATCTTTGACGCCCTTGCTCCGCTTGTGCCGATGCCCACAGAGGAATCGTATCCACTCTGGGCCGGCCACATGTGTCGCTGCCTCAATGGAGGTTCTTTTACTGGTACCGGTAGTGGACATTCGCACCCTCCAGCGCGTATGAAGTGCAGTTACTAAGAGGAAGCGGACAGGCCGAACTCGTCCACGTACGGTAGCTAGGGACGAACAGCGTCAATGCAATAAGAAACTCTAATAAATGTATTCAACAGCGCTAGCTAGCTGGACCAGTTTGCGTAGACTACACTTTTGTAGGTTCCACAACATGGTCTCGTTTCATCCTTAGACAAGGAATCAGCCAACTCACGATCAAAGAAATATCCTTAGGTGTTGACATTGCGATTCTCGCCAGGTTGACTGACATTGTCGTCGGATTCTGCAATTTCATCACACTAGAAAGCCTTGTAGTCACTAATCGCTCCTCCATCCTCACTAACCCCATCCGCTGGCGGCTCCACCTGCTCCTGTTGCATTTGGTTGCCTTGCGCTTTCTGCGTCAAGTATGCCTGGTTGTAGCGGTCAAAGAATGCGGCTGTGTCTCGGCCACCACCAAGGGGATCATTCAGAAAAGGCACCCCTGGTTGCACGGGTGCAGCGGGTGACGCCATCTGCTGCGGCTCCGGTTGGAGAGGTGGTTGTACCCTTGAAGCTGCACTTGGAGGACCACCTGTAGCAGTCAGAGAAGAGCCAGTGAATGAGACTTTTTGGTGGGCCGAGTTTTGGGAAAACGCATCAGAAAATGGTCTTGCGGGTTGCACTGGCGACATTTCTTCCGCCAGTTTAGCTTCCTGCATTGCCTGTTCTCGTTGCAGTCTTTCCTCAACAGCCTGCGCCACAAATTCCAATCTTTCAGCATCTTCAGGATCTTGTGCATCCTTTTCCTCTTGCTGCAATCTTTCCTCCACAGCCTTTGCAACAAATTCCAACCGCTGTCGTTCGGCTTCAGCTGCTGCCCTTAACTCCTCTTCCAACGCCTCAGCCTCCAGCCTCAGTCGCTCTTGTTTAGCTTTTGCCTTAGTCACAAGCCGTTCTTCTTCTCTTGCATCAGCCTCCCGTCTCAGTTGTTCTTGTTCCGCTCTTGCCTCAGCCACAAGCCGTTCTTGTTCAGCTGCCTCGGCCTCCAGTCTTAGTCGTTCTTGTTCAGCTCTTGCTTCAGCCACAATTCGTTCTTGTTCAGCTGCCTCAGCCTCCAGTCTCAGTTGTTCTTGTTCAGCTCTTGCTTCAGCCACAAGTCGTTCTTGTTCTCTTGCCTCAGCATCGAGTCTCAGTCGTTCTTCTTCAGCAAGCCGTTCTTGTTCTCCTCTTGCCTCAGCCACAAGTCGTTCTTGCTCAGCGCTTGCCTCAGCCTCAAGTCTCAGTCGCTCTTCTTCAGCAAGCCGTTCTTGTTCAGCTCTTGCCTCAGCCTCCTGCCTCAGTCGTTCTTGTTCAGCTCTTGCTTCAGCCACAAGTCTTTCTTGTTCAGCTGTCTCAGCCTCCAGTCTCAGCCGTTCTTGTTCAGCTCTTGCCTCAGCACAAGCCGTTCTTGCTCTCTGCCTCAGCCTCCAGTCTCAGTCGTTCTTGTTCGCTCTTGCTTCAGCCACAAGCTGTTCTTGCTCTCTTGCCTCAGCTTCAGTCTCAACCTTTCTTGTTCGGCTCTTGCTTCAGCCACAAGCTGTTCTTGCTCTCTTGCCTCAGCCTCCAGTCTCAGCCGTTCTTGTTCAGCTCTTGCCTCAGCCACAAGCCGTTCTTGTTCAGCTGCCTCAGCCTCCAGTCTCAGCCGTTCTTGTTCAGCTCTTGCCTCAGCCACAATCGTTCTTGTTCAGCTGCCTCAGCCTCCAGTCTCAGCCGTTCTTGTTCATCTCTTGCCTCAGCCACAATTCGTTCTTGTTCAGCTGCCTCGCCTCCAGTCTCAGCCGTTCTTGTTCACTCTTGCCTCCACGTTCTTGTCTCTTGCCTCAGCTTCAAGTCTCAGTTGTTCTTGTTCAGCTCTTGCCTCGGCCTCAAGACGTTCTTGTTCAGCTCTTGCCTCAGCTTCAAGCCTCTGCCGTTCTTCTTCAGCGAGCCTTTCCTGTTCAGCTCTTGCCTCAGTTTCAAGCCTAAGTTGTTCTTGTTGGGCAAGCCTTTCTTGTTCAGCTCTTGCCTCGGCTTCCAGTCTTTGTCGTTCTTGTTCGGCAAGCCTTTCTTGTTCAGCTCTTGCCTCAGCCTCAAGTCGTTCTTGTTCGGCTCTTGCCTCAGCTTCAAGCCTCAGTCGTTCTTCTTCAGCCATAGCCTCTGCTTGTAGTCTGAGACGCTCTTGTTCAGCTGTAGCCTCTTCTTCTTGTCTGAGTCGTTCTTGTTCGGCCTTCGCCTCGGCTTCGAGTTTGAGTTGTTCTTGTTCGGCCTTTTGTTTTTCTTCTTCTTCCAGCAGCCGTTCCTGTTCTGCTTTTGCCTCCGCTTCGAGTTTGAGTCGTTCTTGGTCAGCCTTGGCCACTTCTTCGAGACGTAGTCGCTCAGCCTCCACGGCCTTCTCTTGTTCCTTAGCTAATCGTTGTTTCTCGGCTTCTTCCGCGGCTGCAGCAATCTCTTTTTCTTTTGCTAGTTGTTCCTTCTCCTCCTTTTCTTTCTGCAACCTAGCAGCTGTTTCTTCCTGTTCAAGTCTCTGAGCTTCAGCCTTAGACTCTTCTTCCAACTTCAGTTTCTTGCTTGCGTCAGCCTGAGCCTTGTTGCCTGCGAAAAAGTATGGGGCGGTTTCGGGTTTCTTCGGTGCGGCTTCGGGTTTCTTCGTGGATTCTTCTTGCTCTATGATCTCAGGCTGGGTAGGTTCTGCCTCGGCCTGTGGCGTTTCCTGTTCCTGCTGAGCCTCGAGTTTTTCACGAGCTTCCCTGTCCTTTCGAAGCTGGATTCTCCTCTTGGCTTCCCTAAAATTTTGAAGTCTCGCTTCTTCTTCTTTCTTGATGCGTTCCGCTTCGAGTTTCGTACGCTCCATTTCCGCCTTTTCTTGGGCGTCTGCTTCGAGTTTCTTTTGCTCCATTTCATTTTTCTCCCTGAATGCCTGCTGTTTTTCAAGTCTCAGAGCTTCGGCATTTTTCCATGCTTCCTGCTCACGACGAAGACGCTCCTGTTGAGCCTTTTGCCATGCTTCTTGCTGGCGTTGAGCTTCCAACCTGAATTTCTCGGCTGGCGAAAGTTTCTTGGCATCAGCAGCTTTGGCATCCTCTTTGTCGTTTCCGGCCTCTGCGTCTTCTACTTTGGCGTCTGTATCGGCTGATTCCGTTTTGGTATCATCAGCGGCAGCCTTGGGATTTGGCTTGGGTTGTGTTTGGGGTTGGGTGTACGCAAATTGAAGGGCGGGAGTCACAAATTGCCCCGAGGGAGGCGGCCCACCCGGTCTTGGGGCTCCTGGTGGCGGAGCTGCAGATTTGGGTGGTTCCTTGGGTTTCTTGTCCTTTTTCTTCTTGGCAAAAAGGGCCCCACCGAGACCGGACGGAGTGAACCGAGGAAGGAATCCATGAACGGCAGCTAAGGAAGCCAGAAGCAGAACTGCCGCCACTTTGCGTTCCGCGGATCTCATCTTCGTAGTGTTTTGTTTTCGAGGTGCCTTCAACTAACTAACTGATGTCGATCGAAGTGCCCAATACAGTCCGTGAGGGGTGGGCTTCAATAAGTTTGTGAGAAAGCTTTCTCGTCGCATGGATTGGTATCTTTTGTTGAACGGGTCTTGAGTGACGATCTTTGGCATGAAGGCTTCTTCGGTGACGCCATTCCCTCCGCTAATGGGATGGATGCGTGTGCGCTCGCAAGAAATAAATCTGTTGGTCAATTCTTTCTTTTATTGATTTTTATCCTCAAATTGCTGTTTCCGTAGATTTTACCAAAAAATCCAACAGGCAGATGTGCGTACCAATACCCGTACCGTTACTTTGTTGCCGTACGAACATGAGAAGCCCGATACCTCCGTTCTGCGTACCAGGGGTACCTATACTGCGTACCACGGGTACTACTCTAGTCTTGAGGAGATTGAACTGCAAAATACCAACCTATCTGGGACCCTTCCCACAGAACTACTTCTGTTGGATAACTTGACCAGTTTGGTGGTTATGAACACATCCTTATCTGGGAGCCTGCCTGATGCATTGTGTGGCGTCATACTCTCCCCATATTATGAAGAAGGAAGCACTTTGGTTGGAATGTCTATGATGTTCCAACGACCAACCTTTCCGTCTGCTCTGGTACTAATCTATGCGGCTGTATACTTGTGAGCATTGCCCAAACACATGACATAATTATTAATTTGGTTTGTCGCCTATTCACCAGCCATGAAACCACTGTAGTGCAATGCTCCCAGGAACCCCTTTTGAAGCTAGGTTTGTGAGGCCTTGTTGCTAGCTACTAGCTACATGGTACCCAGCTTGCTAGAGGCAGGAATTATTTTTGGCATGACAGCACTTGGCAGGGGGGAAATGCCACCAAGGATTACAGGCAAATCAATCTCTACTTGCGGGCAGAGAGGCATGTATCCACAACTTGAGCAGTTGTATCGCACCAGCCTTGCAGAAAGCGTCCAAGATGGTTTGGGGTTTTTTGATGATTGCCATTCTGCCTCCTTGGTTATGTCCTATCGGCTCCAAAAGCCAATTCCTCGCAACTCCGTTGAGAAGATGTTATGACTTCCAGCACGGCTCATGAAGTCCCGCGTATGAATTTGAGCCATCATCAAGCACAGTACAACTTTGTTTTAAAAGGGGGTTTGGAGTAGGGAGCACGGCACAGTTGCTTGCAAAACCATCCCGCCTGAAGCCTCAAAGAAAATGTTGCGCTGCCCAAGTACACTAAAATGTAGAACCAGTAACTAAAGGTAAAAGAGTTCAGCGAATAAGCGAGCCCACCTTCCCAAGAGGGAGTGGCCATCCGAGTCGAATCTCTCTTCCAACCGTCCTTTGGCACGAAACATCTTGTCGTTTTTGGATATCGGGAGAGTTCAGAACACTCTAGACTATACTGTTTCACCGGTTTCCTCAGGACAGGAAATGTTCCTTTTCCTCTCATTCCAATCCTAACCTACCGCATCGCGCAAGTCGTTGCTTCCATCCTCATCACTACCATAGGTATAGCTATAGAATGACGATTTCTGCCATGAGTTTGCTTGTCAAAGTTCTGCAATCACTTTCCATGACAACAGTCCTCCGCCAACGGCTCCCTTCTTACATCTTCTCTTTGTACTATCTTACTGTACTACCACTCGAGGTAACGGAAAAAGACTGCTGTCACGTAAATAGCCCAAATCAAGGTTGGCACGGAAAAGAGTGTGATTCCTGCCAATTCTTGATTTTTGGTAATGAGTTTCTTGTCTCGCAAGGTGACAAAGAGCGATCCATAGCTGGCGGCCAAGCTGGCCGCGACTTGTAGATAACACAATTGTGGCTGTATACCGGGAAATCCTCTCATTTGATCAATATATTGACATTGTTCAAAGAACCAAGGTCGATCGTACAGAACCGCATCGACATAGGCCGTGCCTAGAATAAAGGGCAATCCCCAGGCAATGGGCAAGACATAGCCCAATGCATCGACAATGTACCGTCCTTGGTAGTCGTCCTCGCCTGATTTGCGATCTCGTCGTCCTTCCACGACCTCGTCGATTTGCAGTAGGGTATCCAGGATGAATCCGGTATTGAGTACTGTAGGAGAAATAAGGCAAAACAAGATTGATTGACGAGTTGGTTGTTGAAGATTTCCGGGCCAAAGGGACACGTCCACAAAAAGTAAAATCCCGAAAACAACGACGATACGGCCGTTCCCAAAAAGGCATTGCGGGCCGTCAAATCAAAGCGTCGATGAAGAAATGCCATGCGAACCGATGCCATGCACATGACCAGATTGGAAATGGCAAAGGTATACGCGGGGATCATCAAGGTTGATGGGACCACGGTAAAGGTTTCGGGCGACGACAAATAATCGACAGCTCCCGTGGTCAAAAGGACCAGTGCCGACGCCGAATAGACAATGGACGACCATTTGTGAATGCTCAAGGGATCTTCACTGGTAATCAATCGTCGTTTCCACAGAGACAATTTGTCTTCGGGGGGAGCCAAGGGCAGTGCTGCTTCCACTGTGGCATTGGAGAAGGATGATGCCGTAGACTCCACTGGCGGTGGTGGTGATTCCACTACCGAGAGATCCTCTGGTAGAGTGGAAGAACGCAAACGTAACTTGCTGGAAACATGTGGAGCGGCCAGAGAAAGCCTTGAAGGCGCAAAGCTGGCCACTTCCAGGGGAAGCATACAAAGGAAGAACCATGAAAGAGCTCTTGTTAGGTTTATCATCATCATCATCCTGTTTGGGTCCGACAAAGTGAAGCAATGGAAGGGACCAGAGCAATCTGTTCCTTCGAAAAGGGAACCGTTCTGACTTTTGGTCAATGTGTCAGTGACGTCATTTGCTTTGGGAGTTCATTGGATGTTCAGTCATTCGAAGAAGATCCAAGAAGCACGCAAGAAAGATCCAAGATCGTCATTGGCAAAGATTCATGGACTCGACACGACTCGCATTAGCAAGACCTCCATACCGGTACTCTGGAGCTGTTTCATGCAGTTACGGACCCTTGAAGCCCACAACCTATCTTTCATATTATTGACGGATCCACCACCATGAAGAAGTGTTGTGATTTGCTCCAAGTAGCCTTGGCTTTGGCTGCCGCCGACGCCTTTGGGACTATCCGTAGTTCCCAAAGGGCTCGTCCTGTTCCTAGCAGCACAGCTTCAGCTTTGGCCGCCGCCGATCAGCTGCTTTCCGAGTTCACTCGAAACTGCAGAATCGTTTTGTCCTTGCTCCCATGACAAGAGCTCGGTATGTGCGGTATTTCATAGCTATCTTGTTTTGGTGATTTGCATTGATTGGCGTTGCCTAAATACCCATTTGTTTGATTTCAATCATCATTGTTTCTATGCATAAAGTTGCTCCCCCACAGAAGATCCCTTTGACATTACGTGCACTCTCCCCAACGAGCTCATGGGTGACTATTATGAACAAAGAGCCAACGGGAACCTACTCATCACAGAAGGGACCATCATATGGGACGATGGCGCAGGATGGAGGAATGCTCCTCGCATTGATACACAACAACACGCAGAGGCCTGGAAACCCATTATCGACCGCGTCCATGCCAAGGATGCCCTCGTTTACTGTCAACTGTGGCGCATTGGACGGCAGTCTCACACATCCCATCATCCGGAATCGAAGCGCCGCATTGTGGGACCAAGCGAGATTGCCATTGAAGGCAAGGTGAAGACCGTGGACGGTCAAGATGCCGACCCCGAAGTTCCTCATGCCTTGACGATTGACGAAATCAAGTCCACCGTTCTAGATTATTGCAATGCTGCCAAGGTGAGTGGAACTTGGTTGATGGTGTTGATGATGACGAGAGATACTTGACCCATGCCAGCACCAAACAAAGAAGGTAACCCACACTTTTTTATTTGCATGGATGACGCAATTCCCTCATGGATGTCCAAAGAAGCCGGCTGTGATGGAGTGGAAATCCACAGTGCCAACGGATACTTGCTCGATTCCTTTTTCCAATCTACATCCAACACAAGGACCGACCAATATGGCGGCAGCATGGAAAATCGCGTGCGGATCTTGACAGAAGTTGTGGCTGGCATTGTCGAAAGTGGGGCCTACCCGGCCAATCGCATCGGATTCCGTCTCTCGCCAAACGGAGTCTTTGGAGGAATGGGATCCAAAGACAATCCGGAAATGTTTGAATTCATTGCCAAGACTATGAACAACTATGATATGGCCTAGTAAGTACGGTGCCGTAGTACCAACGATCTATTGACTGTCTTTGTTCCAACAATGACTCACTAATGTTTGTTTGTACACTCACGGGATGCATGTAATGCAGTTTGCACATCATGGACGGACTTGGATTTGGATACCACGAAAAGGCTAGGGTAGTTACAGCATTTGACATGAAGAAGCATTTTGATGGTCCGGTGATTGCCAATGTTGGGCTTACAAGGGACAAAGCAGAGGGAATGATCCGTTCGGGTACCGCGGATTTGGCATGCTTTGGAAGACCGTACATTGCAAACCCTGACTTGGTCGATCGATTTGCCAATGACTGGCCCTTGGATCCAGAATCGGAACATGAGAATTGGTGGTATCCAACTGGATCCAAGGGATACACAGACTACAAGAACTACAAGAATTAAGAAGCTCTTGAACGTCTTTTAGGTGGACCAAGCAAGAAACCGCGTCACGTCGTATCATGAGCCTTATCTTCACATACATGGGTTGTCAACATCATCCCATGCAGTAGAGTGCAGGTGTTCGTAGCTCTAATCTACACTCTGGTTGCCATTTGACAAGAACTCAGTAGCTGGCATTTCTAGTCGTTCTCTATTGCAAAGGCTTCATTTGAGGGCCAGGAAAAGAGAGGATGGAGGGCACAGGAAGGGAGGACAGGAGTGTCCCGTTCTACTGACAGGTGCAGGTCTTCTACTTCAGGGGTAGCGAAGAGCTGAAATGGCCAGGAGTGGCTGGGACTTGTGATGGATGCCAAGTAGGACGCTGAAACTCTTCTTAAGAGGATCAAGGACTTGAAAGAGGAGTGAGGCAAATAGTGAAAATTAATGTGGCAGTTCAGAGATTAGCAGGTCTGTTGTTGTGGCGGAAGAAATAGAGTGAGTTTCCAATCTTCATGTCTGTCCTCTTCTTCCTGGGGGAAACCAAATACTGGAGTAGCAAAAGAAGCCTAATGAGGAAACTTTGCCGATATTCTAGTACCATCGTGTGCTTACAAATAACTACACGTAGTATAAAAGAGCAGTCCTGAGTTTCCGTGGTTAGAATAGAGAAAGTCTTCTTTGACCCTGATAGTGAGTAAATGGGTTTGTGCTTGCCGGTTTCGATGGCTGCTCTTGTTCAATGCCAGTGCGAACTACTCCACAGGCAGGAGGAGGAGAGGCTGATAGAGCGCATATGACTTGTTGAATCCATGGCGATGCCCACGCCACTCGAGAAAATAGTCCTGGGGCACTAGTGCTTCCGCAACCCCCGTTCCCTGTACTGGCAATCCCAATCTGGAACCCATCTTGATCGAGCAGCGGGCTGCCAGCATCATTCATGCACCTGTTGCTCTGGGTGATGTTGTTGGTGTCATTGACTGCCGCACAAATCATGAGAGCATGGATAATTGGAGGTTGGTACTGCCAATGGAAGCGAACAAAAGCTGTTAGACGAGGTTCTACGAACGTAGGTCAAGGTGAAAACGCATCATTGAGATCAAACAGAGCTTGGCAGTGTCACTCCTCACCACCTCTTGGCAGGTACTCTTGGGAAGAATCTGCACTGGTACGTTCTCTGTTTCTGAGGGTTGGCTCTGTCGTGATACACCAACGTCCGTCATGTCACTTGGGCTCGTAGGCCGCATAAATGTGGCTTGGTTATTGCCGATTGCGGGTACAGACTGGTTTTGACTAATGGGTCTTAAGATTGCATTTGGCACGGGGGTTGCCTACCGGTATACAGATGAGAGGAAATAGCTGTGTAAGAAACCACAATAGCGGTGCGTTCAAGCATGGAAGAAGTGGTGCGTAGTATAGGTACCAATTTGATCACGGCGAAATCTGCGTAGGGGAAATCAAAACGGGGATGAACTTCTATAAAATCAATCTGATGTGCCTGTGACAATTGAGGAAAGCCAACGTATCTGCATGCAAGGAGAATGAATAAGGCCGGGAAAAGATGAGTTGTGAGAGCTGTTGTGAGCCAACCATGAACGAACAATGACTGTGAGAGGAGATCTGCAACTCTTACGCGGTATCGTTGAACTGCAAGTAGGCATCGCATTGGCCGGCAGTCAACACAATATCATCGTGAACAAGGGACCCCCAACATGTTTCCTTTTCTCCTTGGAGGAGCACGAAACGTAGGTCCGGCAGTTGCCGGCTAGAATACGAAGCAAATGCTCTAGCTCTCAGCAATCTTGATAGATGATGATCCGCTTTCTGCCATGGTCTCTTCCCGTCGTCGTTTTTGAAGATAGACGATCGGAAGGCAACAAGACCAACTAAAAGAGCAAGCGTGCTGCATACTACTACAGGCCGAAGCATCCTTTGCATCATCATTGCGCCTTTATGGGTACGACAGTAGGACCATCACAACAAACGCTCCAGAAAATGAGAAACAGGGCGGGAAGCTTGTGGGATTTTTTCCACGCTCCCTCCAAAACAAACGGGTGTCAAATCCGAACTCCCTCCAAAACAAACGGGTGTGATTCATCGTTAGTGATTGAATGAATGACGTCATCGTGGAAGGCTCACAACCTCAGCTTTTACTTTTGCAGCTCATCCAAGTTCTTCAATGAGCAAGATGCCAGCAACGACTTGAGTGGACTTGACACCTCAAGCAACAACACTCAACAAGATAGATAGTCTACCCATTCAATCCTTGGATATCCCTCACGGCAGTTCTGCTCCAGCCCTATATTTGTTTTTGTCTCGAAACAAAACTCATTTCCCAGCTACTAGCTAGTCTAGCCAAAACTAATTGACTTGAAAATAATGACACGGATAGTGCTTGGACGAGTTTTGCTGCTCTCCACGGCACTGCTTGCCGCTGAATCAGCATTTGGTTTCGTTGCCAACCCTCGTGTTGTTTCCCACGTTTCATCATCACCATCATTGTTGTCTCCTCTGCATGCCAAAAAGAAAAAGGGCAAGAAAGGAGCAAAAGGTTTTGGCAAGACAGCCGAACCTGCCGTTGCAGTGGAACCAACAACAATCAGCAGCGATGACAGTACTAGTACGCCTCTAGAAGGTTCCTCTCCCTTTTTGCAAAGTGTGGAACAGGGTGGATCCTCCAGTATTCCTACCGTGGAAGTTGCGTCGTCGGAACCAGAACTTCCACCGGAAGAACGAGCCAAGAAACTGTTGCGGGAACAGTATGGATTGCGATCACTCGAGGAGCAGCGAATGGCCGATAGTATTAATGACCAACGCCAGAGAATGGACGAGCTCAAGAAAATGGCCGAGAAAGAAGACGATATTGATATCATGGCCATGCTTCCAGCTCCCTTGCTCAAGGGTATTGATACCTTTTTGAAACTGGGAGTGGCAATCTGCACGACTCTGTTTGTCACTGCCGGCATGGGTATTACAGCCGAAGCATGGAGCAAGACATCTGGCAGCCCTCTTCCAGATAACATTGATGCTTTCATTGTAGATGTGGTAGAGCCAAACTTTACCACTGGTCTGTTGGTGCTGTTGGGCTTTTCCGTGAGCCTGGGTGGTTTTGCGGCATTGCAACTAACCTCGGCTTCGTCTCAGTACAAGGAGGAGTAAGTAAGGAGGAGAGGGTTTCATTTTTCTTGGAACAGAGCATGCAGTTGCAACTACCACCAGGGTAACTCCGTGCATGCTACGAACACAACGGCGAGAACGACAAAGTGATGTCCATATCTGAAAGAGAAAAAACTCAACAAACACTCATGACGAGGACCATCACTTCGTAGACAAACTGTACTAGCTATTTTGAGCCAGAAGAATCAATTCTTACCAAACTAATATGTAGGCCCTCAATACTAGTATCGGTATAGTTGGTTTCTTTCTGTAGAATGAGACGAATGGATCAATGCTTTGCAAAACTAAGTGCTACTGCTATCAGTTCGTCTTGCCGTTGAATGGATCTTGCTCGCAGCTACCACATCAGTCTGTCAAGTCCATTCTCGAACCGGGCTGTCATCCTTCGCTCGTTCCATACTGTACCGGTACGCCGTTGATTTAACTAAAGACTGACTGCATCACAGATCGCATAGTGCTGGTATTAGGAGAGGAGATTACGGTACAGATAGTTGGCTTGCAAGAATATTCATGGTCCCGGTGTGGGCCCGGGTAAAAAGACCAAGGATTTGCAATCATCGCATCCAGCCAATGTTAGTTTTGGCTTCCAGTCAGCCAGTTGGTGGGTGTTACAGTCGAGGAGTGAGAGTCTCAGTCGAGTCGAGTCGCTCTGACGCCAAAGTCGTTGCCCCAGAGGTGCAGACTTCTGATGCGAGGTGCTGCCCTACCGTACGGTACGGTAGGGGTGCTCTGACGCCGAGGTGCATAGTACCGTACTGGTACCTGGTACCGGTACCAGGTACCGTACCGTAGAGGTGCGAGGTGCCTGCAGTAGTGGTGCTTGCAGCACGTGTTCTGTATCGAGTGTACGAGTGGCGTGGCTACGGTATGGAGGTGGCCGGTTCCGAGGCCCAAGCCAAAGTTCCGGGCGACGGCACACGATGTGCCAGCCATGATGAGATAGGCACCGGTACGGTACGGTACCTAGAGCTAGCTAGGTACGGAGCCGGAAGATAACCGATGGGCCAAGAGGTGTTTCCAAACTTTGTGAAGCTGTGAGCTGGCCAAGCCAATACGTCGCCGCACAACCAACAAAAATCAAGCAAGATCGTGACTTGACAAAATGGCTGAAACGAAAGAACCTACTAGACTAGCTAGCTAGCTATCGTATGCACAGCAAGCTAGTAGATATCGATACCTTGTTGAAAAGGAAAGCGAACGCTGCAGCCATTGTGTCGCCTCCAAGACTGCCGACGGAAGCCGTTCCATACCCATCCAGGATCTGGCACTCGCTCTTTGCTGTTAGTTGCTCTAAGCTCTCTAGTTTACTTGCTTTTGCTTGCCACCCCGGGCAGCTGTCGCTCGCAGCCAACACAACTAACTGCTGGCAGCCAAGCTGCCGCCATACCCATCATAACGTCCAGTACTGTACCAGGGTAATCACGGTCGAACAATCGGTTCCATGCGAAAGACTTTGTAGGACAAACTACGGTACCCAAAGCTATGATAGGTACGGTACGGTACGGTAGCCACATCATTTATACTCGAGGCACTTGACACTGTAACTAGCTAGTACGACGACAAAGCTGGCTTCTTTTGTTTACTTACAGTACTACTGGAGTACATTGTTTCCCCCGGTTTTCGACTCGACTCAATCGGCAGTACCGTAGTATTACCGAGTCGTCACCAATCCTCGATCCGGCGATCGACCCCGTGGCTTTTTTCGGGCGGGAGACTGCTTTCTGGAACTTCGCCCCTTGGTCGTCGTGGACGACGAAAAGGCTCGCCACGACGGACTACTGGCTCGTTTGGGTTTGCAACTGCTGTTGCTGTGATGTTGTTCTTGATGCGGAGATGCAGTTTCTCCCCCAATTTCGAGTTGTCGCAAATAATCGCGCATGGAATCGATTTCTTCGTCAATTTCGGCCACAAACGCCTTTTTCCAAAACCGTGCCGGAGATGGCGATCGCTGTTTGTGGCGTCGTCCAAACAGTCGACTCGTCAGTGATGCACGATGCGATGACTTGGAACCAGCGAGCAAGGACGTGGCTTGCGCTGCTTCCGATGATTGTGCAATCGAATCGTCTTCGGTTTGCACCGTCCAATCGTCTTCTTGGTGCATGGGGGCTTGATCCTGCGATGGTACTCCACCGCCTTGACGACGATTATTGTACATGTCTTCGAGAAGATTCATTTGGTCTCCAATCGACTTGATCTGTTCGCTCCAATCCGATTTCGCATTAGCCGCTGACTGAGAGTCCGTCTCTGATGACCATTCAGTGGGAGTGTCTTCTTGCTGCGCTCGCTGTTCATAGAGCTGTTGCAAGAGCTCCATTTGTTCATCAATCGCCTGCAGCTTTTCCTGTTTCAGCGACAACGCCAGTTTGGGGTCCAATTCCTCCGCGTTCATCAACAGCTCATCGTACAGAGCAAGCTTCTTCTCGTTGGCTAGCCGACGGGCTTCGAGTTCCTCTTCCATCATGGTCGTCTTAGTGTGGTTGTGGGTAGCGTTGTTATTCACCATCTTGCCCAAGTCCTTCCGCAAAATCAAAGCAAGCAATCCTTTGTTGCAGTGAATTGAAACTGTGCGAGTGGTGAAACTGCAACGGAAGCAAGCCGTGAGTGTGATTTATGTGAATGAAAGCAGCAATGAAAGGTGAGAAGGAACACAAGCAACAAAAGCAGGCTTGTTGCTCGTGCGGCGGAGCCAATGCCGATCACACCACGGAAGTTGGTCCGCTGGCGAAACTGCCACGTAAATCATTTGAAAGAGCCTGGGAACTGGTGAAGGCTCATTCCATCAGTCAGGCTTTTGCAAATGATGTATGATTATATAATAGAGCCTCATTAAATACGAGGATTTAGCATCATTAGGATTACCTTTTGTGAGAATGATACTGTGATTAAATAGTTAAATTGCACATAACTTCTATTAAATCATCGGAAGATTAGTCGAAAAGAAGCTCCAAGAAAGCCTGTTGAGGATGCTAGAAGGGCTTCTTCCTTAGATGGTGAATCCGAAAAGATTTAATGCTCTGTGAATGCCAAGGTGGAATGGACAAATTATCCAGTCGCAAAAAGCTTTCTAGGCAGCTGCCCTTATCATACATGTAGAGCGCTGGCTCATCATGTCACAGCCATGTCATCTTGACATGGCTAGGTAGCATTATGGAGCGATGATGATGGAGTGGTATTATTTTGGATTTCCTTTCGTAATGGTCCCCCGCCCTGTAAAACGCTCTTTTTAGCCATTCCAGCCCACACCGAAGATTAGATTGGAGAGTATGGTACCGGTATGATTGAGATACTAGCTAGAGTACTGTAGATGATGGCAACAAACTCCGTCAAGTGGCAAGGTGGCTCTTCTTGTCTTCATCCACCGCTACTAGCTAGTACAGTTAGTTGCTCTCTACTAGCTAGCTAGAAAGGCAACACAACACGATGGAGAAGGAGCAAATCCCATCTCATGACTACAAGGATAAAAGCTTCGTGAAGTCTACAGTAGCTACCGTACTAGCCAGCTTTCTACCCACAGTACGACCAGGGATTGCCTGAGCATCCTGAAGGCTGATCTTGCTACCGTACAAGTTGATTAAACCTACAGCGACTCTCACTCAGTCGAAAGTCCAAAGGTAGCATTGGCCTGATCAGACCAAGTGGTGATGGCCTGTTCCGCCAAGCTGCTACCGTAGCAGCCAGAACAAATAGCCTCATTCAGTTGCCAATTTAATTAAATAATGATTAAATTACTTGACTTGACTTGCATGGACTACCCGTGTCATGCTTAACTGTTGCTAATGGCCTTTAGAAACACATGAACCTATTACCTAGTATAATACTCACCTTGTTACGAGTAAATTTTTAATAAGACCAAATAATCAAACCAATTTTAATATTACGCTTAACCCTGAACTAAGACATTCATTAAAAGGTCCCACATTGCTTCCAGTCATTGGTTCTTGGGTCTTTTGAATGACCCATCTTTGGTTCGGGGTTGTCCTCGAGATTGACAGAAGCTTCTTGATCTATCTGTACTGGTACGCTGTACCGGTTGGGGCACCATCCGAATCTCCATCAGAACCACCAACATTGGTAGGGAAATCACCATCATCATCTAGCTCCTCATTTCCTTCCCCATCGGCGCCCTTGTTGTTGCCGATTCGAGGATTTGCTGCAGGTTTCCGATGGTCTGCATCTTCTTCGGAACCACCACTACCTTGGAGTGAGGCCCTGGCATGGGCATCCTCGTCCTGCAATCCTTGTGGAATGGCTGCCCTGGAATCTTGTCCTCTTGCTGCCTTTCTTGATGCTTTTGCGGGCCGACCGGTGTCAGTGAGACCAAGCTGATTGCTCTGGCCCTTGATCTCGTCTGTCTAGTCTGTCTAGTACCTATAGGATTGAAAGCAAGGTCCTAACCAAGGGCTTTCTGCATCAGTTGGTGGCAGCGCTTGTTCTGTTGCATGTGAGATTGCTGATATCCCACAGATTTGAATTTTTTATTGCAGTAAGGGCACTCAAACTCCTTCTTTGATGTTGCCATGGCTGCAAGCTAGCTAGCCAACACTAGCTGCTACTAGGTGCACTGGCTGGTGATTTGGATTCTGTGTGCTGGGGAACCGCCCGCTTACCAATTGGGGTGTAGTTGATGATACCAAAGAGGGGGTTTGCCTTCCCGAAAAGACGGTCCAAAAAGTGGAGACCAAAATCGTGAACCATGTAGTCTTGCTGGGCGAGCCTTCAATGCATGCTGATGTGGAACACATGATCCCGATTCCAATCCCTGCATGCATTCTTGGAAGAAGTTACGTCACTGATCGGGATCGTGCTGGTTGGCGTTTGGTACCTGCACACATGTCGATTCTAGCGCTACCTAAAAATGCGCTTCTTAGATGTTGAAGCTCCTTTGTTCCAGGAGCAGTGTTTGTTCTGCGTTTCATCTCAGCATTGAGGTAAAGCTTCAGTACATGGTGGAGAGCCCAGAAGTCTTGTTCGGTCATTTGTTGAAAGGCCCTCTTCACGTATCCTGACCCCATCTCACGAAAGATACTGTGAACCATTCTTCTTCTTCTCTTGATAGGTGAGGTGTTATGTCTTCCAGGGCCACCATCTTGTTCGAAACCAAAGAGATGGCCATCTGCTTCCAGTAGCGTTGCCGTGAAGCTTTGCCAATGTTCGCAACCGTTTGACGATTCGAGAACCATGGCCGTAGCGTCCTGCTCCTGCTTCCACTGATGATGGCTGGAGAAGGAACGAGATAACAACAAGCATCAAGAGGTACGTTGCAGCTATTTTATGGTCATTATCCTCAACAAGAGCCAATGCATTGACTATCCACAAGGAGACTCCTTCTATCTACTCCCAAGGTTTTATCAACTCCCACTTGGAAACTTGGCCACAAAACTTGGATTGGAGGTGCGCCCAGTGTGGAGAGAGTAGCGAACATAACCTATTAACTCAGGTTTTGAGGTGCACTCGTCAACTAGGATTCGAAGGTCCACCCCTACCCCATCTGGATAGGCTCTTTAGAAGCCAAAACACCGTCAAGGCTAAGGGACAAGATGGTGGCTCGTCTTGTCTTCACCCACCGCCAGGAGCTCTTTGAGAAATTGGACAAGGAGCATATCCCATCTGATGACAAGGATAAAAGCTTCTTGGGTGGACCTGCAGTCTACAGTAGCTAGCGAGCTTGCTACCTACAGTACAGTAGGACAAGGATTGACTGAGCACTACTGATCTTGATACTAGCTATCTACCGGTACAGTACCACGTGGCTTTGAAAAAGAAAAACAAGTTCTACTGGACTGTACAATCTCCGACTATGGTCCCACATTGCTTCCAGTCATTGGTTCTTGGGTCTTTTGAATTACCCATCAATGGTTGGGGCGGGGGTTGTCTTTTTTCTGTAAGATCTTGCAGCTCGTACCATGGTGAATGCTGAAATCCGTAACCAGTGATGAAGTACATGATGTTGACGGTTGTCATGTAGTACATGTAAAACAGCCAAGTGCTCCTCTTGAATGCAAGTGCATGTACAGTACTGGTAGCATATATATCTGTAGGATAGCATTCATTCAATGGAATGGCCATGAAAGGCATGTTGGGACGTCCTCGCACTGGCACTGGCACTGGCACTGGCAGCAATGATGCTACTAGTAATTGCGACACTGCCACTGCCAATTTTGCCTCTGAAAATGCGACTGCGTCTCTACGAGTAAACAACCATGACGACGCCTCGACACTGGCGTCTTCGTCGGTCAAGTTTACCGTGGTGAGCGAGTTGACAATGCCATGCACAGAGGGTACTGTCACTACCAGTACTCGCAGAGGCATGGAACGCCGCCAATCCTTTTGCACGCCCTTGCCGGCCCAACGTCCCTTAAGCAACGACTTGTCGAGCTTTACCATTGACAAGCTCAATTACAAGTCCCTGCAAGTGTATGGTAGAGATGACGAACTGGACCTCCTACGCAAGTGTTGGACGCAGACACAACGCGATCGTCGTCGTCGTCAAGTCGTCATGGTGGGAGGGATATCTGGCAGTGGCAAGACGCGATTGGTCCAAGCCGCACTGCGCCACCATGGAAACTTTGTCCGAGGCAAATTTGTTGATAGTGTACCGTACTCGGGGATTGCCACTGCCTGTGCCGAGATTTGTGGCCTTGTCTTGGCGCATCCAGACACGACATCCATCCAACAAGAGCTCGTGGCGGCCAACCTGTCGCTCCTGACCAAAGTCATTCCAATATTGGCAGAAGTGGTCGATGATGATTTTGACCAAACAAGTAGTCACAATTCAATCAATCAATCCATCCGAGAGCCGCAATCAAATCAACTATGCCTTTCAGCGGTTCCTAAAGATTGTATCCGAGGCATTGGCAATGCCTCCTTTGGTACTCGTGCTGGACGATTTGCAAAATGCGGATGCGGCCTCTCTCGATTTGTTGGAATACATCATTCGTACTAGTAATGGACAACAAGCACCGCAAAACATCATGATTGTGGGAATTTATCGATCCAATCAAGTGGATGGCAAGCACATCTTAAAGCACTTGCTGGATCGATTGGACTTGGCCAACACAGCGACAGCGACAGCGACAACCTGCGACATCCACAAGATCCATATTCAGGATCTTTCCCTCGAGGCGGTCAACAGCATTGTCCAAGACTTGTTGGACAACGGCAATAACGACAAAACACTGCCTCTGGCACAATTGTGTCTCAAGCGCACAAACGGCAATGCCTTTTTCTTATTGCATTTTCTACAGTTATTGCACGAGGCGGAATTGATACAGTTCAACTTTTTAAAATACCTTGTCGTGGACATGGGATGAACACGAGATTGAGTCCGCCGCCAGTGCCACGGATAACGTGGTGGAGCTGCTCCAAGCCAAAATGGCACATCTGCCTCCAGACGTTATCGAGATTCTCAAACTAGCAGCCTGTCTGGGATCAACGTTTGAATGGTCCATATTGAGTTTGCTATGGACTGAGCTAGTATGCATAGCAGACTTCTTGCCCAATTGGGTGCTCCTACCGCAACAACAATCCGCTATACGTTTGTGCACGATAAGATATTTGAGGCAGCGCTCTCTCTGATCTCACCGGACCAAAGGCCAAGCTTCTCTCGTCGACTGGGCAATGTCTTGGTCTCTCACAAGTTGTTGAATCACAAGGAACGGGAATCCATCTTGTTTGTTGCTGTGGGTCTGTTGAACGAATCCATTGAGCAACTGCTAAAGGAGGACGATCGGGAAGCACTTTTAGAGTTGGCGCAATTCAACTACACCACAAGTTGCAAAGCAGTGGCGCTGTCGGCGTTTGGAGACGCGGCAACATACGCAGGCAAGGGAATAGATGCTTTACCCTCCAACAATAGTTGTTGGCAGGAGCACTATAAGTTGACGTTGGGGTTGTATTCCATCAAAGCAAAAGCTGAGGGATTCGAAGGCAATGTGGATGTCATGGAGCGCTGCTGCAAGGCCGTACTGGATCAAACGGACAAGCCCATTGAAGATAAGTTCGACGTTTACAAGACATGGATCGACAACTTGGCGAATCGCGGGGACGTGAAGCAGGCGGTGGATTTATCTTTTGATATCCTGGCAAAGTTTAATTGTCGCTTTCCAAAGAACCCGGCGTTGGTGACCATCGGAGTGCTTGGCGGCCTCATGAAACTCAAGATGAGTTGCAAGTCTCTTGATCTTTCAAACCTTCCCCCAATGACAGATCAGACACGCATTCATCTGGTAGATATTATGGAGCACCTTGCCATGCACCTCTTCTTGATGCATGACCCCAGGCTACCATTGGTAATCTTCAAGGTTTTGAAATGGACATTGAAGTATGGTTACTGTGAATACTCTGCACCTAGCTTTGTCAAGGCAGGAGTCTGCGCAATTGGGTTCCTCGATGACATCCAAGGAGGATCTAAATACGGGGACCAGGCCATGATTTTACTGGAAAAGTCTCAATCACGAGGAGGAAGGTCGAGGACGGCGTTCGTGGTGCACACGAATCTGTATGCTTATACGAAACCTTGGAGGACGCTGTTCAAGCCAGCATTGGAAGATTATGACCAGTGTCTGCAGTCTGGGTAAGACGATTGCTGCTCGTAGCTATTGTGTGAAGTAAGCTCCTTCATTTTCTCACCTTTCCTTGCTTCATTGGGCTGGAATTCATTGCAGCGACACAGAAAGTGCCATGTGGGCAATTCATCATTACATAGAGATTCGATACATGGCATCTGTGCCGTTGCAGACACTGGCAGCAGACTTGCAAGTCTACATACGACAAATGAAAGATCTGAATCGAGAGATTCATTTCATGTTCTGCAGTATCATGTTGCAGACCGTTCTGAATCTGATGGGTCGAAACAATTCCACTGAACCAACGAACATGGTTGGAGATGCCTTCACAGAAGAGCTCAAACAGCGATTTGATGGGGAAATGATCTTTGCTGGTGCTAGTGGAGAGCTTCGTCTATACGAAACCATCCTGCTAGGATACTTTGGGGAGTACGCTCGAATCGCAGATCACGTGGTCGATGCGGGGCCAGATTTTCTTTTGAAGATAAACATGGGGCAAATGACAAATCCATGGGATATTTACCTGAAGGGTGTTTCCTGCTTCGCAACCGCTCGCCAGACGGGAAGGAAAAGGTATGCCAAGTTGGGACGCATTTTTCGTTCCAAGATCAAGAAGTGGGTTGACGACGGTGATTCCAATATTGGTCATTACTTGTGTTTGCTGGATGCTGAAGCGATGGCCCTGCAAGGAGACAATTCTAGGGCCACCCAGTTGTACGAGACAACGATTCTTTTGGCGGCCCGATCTGGTTTGTTGCACGATGCTGCACTGGCAAGCGAGCGCGCTGGAGACTTTTACTTGACAATTCTACAGGATAGAGACGAGGCTCGCTATCGCTTTAGAGAAGCAGTGAAGTACTGGACGAATTGGGGTGCCATTGGAAAAGTTGCAGTGCTGGAGAGACAGTATGCTGATCTCTTGCAGCAACCACCAGGTGTTGTCTCCATTCGAGGACACCATAGCAGCAATTCTATAAGCTGGTAAAAAGTGTGTTGGTCCTCAATTTCTGGCCCCTGATCCCACAGAACCTAGAACCTAGCTAGTCCTGAATTTTGACTGTTCTTTGCTTTTAAAAGCCTGCCCCCCGCTGGCTTCTGTAGATAATTCCCTACTTACTCTAAGAAAACCCCGTCTGTTCGACACCATAGCAGCAATTCTATGCTGGTAAAAAGTGTATTGCTTTGGTGCTTTGGAATGTTGTGCCCCCCCCTCTCCCAATCCCCCTCCAGGCCCCGATCTCTGGCGTGGTGATCCTTCCATTCACGGCTTGTTTGAATGTGGTACTACTGCCATTATTGACGTACGTGTTGCGGATTTGGACTGTGCCTCTTACCAAACCAAAGATCCAAACAAAGTTTTAGCCAACCAAGAACAAGAGAAAATTTCAAAGCATAAAGCCCTGTACAAATACAACCGCACCTCCTTTCATCCCTTTGTTGTTTCTGTGGATGGCATGCTTGCCCCCCAAGCCATGATTCATCTACAAAGCCTTGCTTCTGTGGCTGCCAACAAAACTCAGTTCTCATACTCTCAAATGATTTTCTTCATGCAGACACGGAACTCTATTGCCCTCTTGTGAATGCTACCCATTTATGTCTCCGTGGATCTCGCAAAGCCAAACCATTTGGCCCCCATAATGGTACACAATTTCTTCCCGCTGATCCCACAGAACCTAGTCCTGAATTTCGACTGTTCTTTACTTATAAGCCTGGCCCAGCTGACTTCCGTAGATAATTTTCCTACTCTAGACCTCCGTTCTTTGTACTATTTCGTCTCCCGGAGACGATTTGCTTTTAGGGGTAAGGGTACCGATGGGGAGTGGAGGTTTGAATTATACCCGGCGTGCATTACTTAGAGGCCTCTGTAGAAGTCTACGTATTCGACTAGTATTGTATTGACGGGATACAGTCAACGCATGTACATGCACATGAAAGTCGCCTTGCGTTCTTCACATTTTTCGCATGAATGAGGGTTCTTCACATTTTTCGCATGAATGAGGGTTCTTCACATTTTTCGCATGAATGAGGGATCCGTTTCGGGGCGAAGCAGAGAAAGGGATGAGCGCGCGGAGCGCGCGAATACAGTGTACTGTTTCAATAAAGCGAGTTAGGTGTTGGTAATAAAAGATTTATGGAAACGGAGACGAGCCAGGAGGCATATGAATTAATAGTCTATTTTAAAATAGTAGAGTTGTAGAGTGACACTTTAATAATATTCTTAGGTCGCACATTTGCTTCCAGTCATTGGTTCTTGGGTCTTTTGATGACCCATCAGGAAAATCAATCTTCGGATTGTCCTCGAGATTGACAAGATCTCACTTCTTGCCTTTCCCACCACACACAAAACAAACATCATTCAGATCAAAGAAGGGGGTTATTACAAGTTACAAACAACATCAAAAGGGCGACCATGACGAGCACCACCGAGGAGGAAGAAGCTGCTGCGGCGGCCGCAGTACTGGAAAAGCTAGAAGAGGAGCAGAAGGAGAAGGTTCCACCACCACCTCCCCCTCCGCCTCCTCCTGAAGAAGTCCCACCGCCACCCCCCGCCTCCGCCGCCTCCTCCGGATGAAGCCCCTCCTCCACCACCACCGCCACCTCCACCTGAAGAGCCCAAGAAAGAAGAGATCAGTGCTGCGGATGCCAAGAAATCAGCCATGATGTTAAAATTGGAGAAACAAAAGCAGCGTTTGGAGGCCATGAAGATGAAACAACAACGCGCTCTAAAGGACGGCAAGAAGGATGTCACGGCGTGGGTTCGTACGGCCAGTACGCGCAACTTGATTCCGTCGGCTCCACCCGCCACTGCCAGCAAATCCTTGGACACTCCTGCTACACCTCCTACAAAAGTGGACCACTTGTTGATTTTGCTGTCGACCATTACATCCACGACCTCGCAATTGTCACAACAGCAACGCGCCATTAGTATGTTCCAATCGTTGGAACTTCCCTACAAGACACTCGATGGTGCGCAACCGGAACACAAAGATCAACGCAATGAACTATTTACCAAGAGTGGGATTCGCGGGAATTTCCCTCAGTTCTTTGTGGGTCGATCTACTACTGATAGTACTTCTGACAAAGAGCAAAAGTTTGACTATCAATATGTGGGCCAATTCTACGACATGGAAGAAATCAACGAAAAGAGTGGCTTGCCCGTCGACGTGCTCTGTGAGTTTGATGTCACGTGGGATAAACTCATGGGAACTACCGACACGCAAACGTACCGTTTGCATCTCCAAACCAAACGACAACAGCAGCAACAACAACAATCGAATCAGCAGACTCCAACTCAACCATCACCAACTGCCCAGAAGGAAGCACCAGACACGACCACCACCCCTTCTACTACGACTGCTACGACTCCCAGCAATGAAAAAGACAACAAGGCCGCCCTGACGATCCAACGATTCCTGCAATCCCTCATGCCTTGGTGGAAGATATATCAACTGGAAAAGATGGAACTAAAAAATCGACAAAATCGACTCCAACAACGCATTCAAGCGGAACTGGATCAAATTGAACGCGATAAAGAAGTCAAAAAACGAGAGTACGATGCCAAACATAAAAAAGACAAAAAAAGTGATAGCAAGCACAATAACAACAAGCAGGACAATGACAAGGAAGCCAAAAAACTCGTCAAGAAAATGAATCAAGCCCAAAAGAAACAGATTCAGTTGGAAAAAGAATTGAAGCACGAACAAAAGCGACACAAACTCATTGTCAAAGTCAACAAATTGGAGGCGGCATCCGAAAAGCAGCGCACCAAATTCTTCAAGGTCAAGAATAAACTCTTCAAGCAGCAGGGAACGGCACGACGATTGGAAGAAAATATCCAACTCGTCAACAAGGACAATCAAAAATTAATGGAGGGCATTCAAAAGGCGGCCGTGACGTTGGGGCAAGTACAAAGTGGTGATGGTAGTGGTGCGGCAGAACCCAAGGCGGCGACAAAAGCTGCACCCAAGGCAGCACCCAAGGCAGCACCGGCTCCCAAGGCAGCACCAGCTACCAAGGCGCAAACAAAAGCAGCGACAAAAGCAGCAGCGGCTCCAAAAACAACACCGGCTCCAAAAGCAACACCAACGGCCCTCGAGGTAGCTCTTGCACCGACCGGTCCCCAATCATTGGAGGATTCGTTTAGCGATTGGGTGCCAAAGAACAATACCAATAATGTTTCCATCGAAAAGGGACCCACCAAAGCATCGGGCAAAAAATCATTACTGGGATCGACGTTCAAAAAGACGAACAGCAAGGCCGCAAAGACAACAACAACACAAGGAGGCAAGGGAGAGGGTGGGGCATCTACAACAACAACAAAGACACCAGCGACGAAAACACAAACAACAGCGAACAAAAAGGCACCTCCAGCGAAAAAGAAGTCTGCGGCGACACAGCCGGCAGCGAAAAAGGCTGTAGCCGCCAAGACGAACAATAACAATGCGGGAGCCAAGGCGAATGCTGGCGTAGTCAAGGGAGGGGCCACCAAACCACGACCCTCGATCAAAAAGGATCCAAAGCGGGAAGCATCCAAACGGGCACTGATGCTGGCCGATTCCTCCCGGCCGTCGGCTGTCTGGTGCCGACCGGCAGCACGAGAGCGACGACCGTCGCATTTACTGGCTCGGTTGGAAAACAATCGGAAACTCGAAATTGATGCGTCCAATCACAACAAGTAAGTAGAATGAATGGTGTGGGGGGTGCAGGCCTAAAGGGTTGCTTGCTTGCTATGTGGATCTTCTTTTGGGTGGTTAAGAAGACGTTCCGCACTAGCTAGCGAGTACGAGTAACATAACGTGACGTTCGTTAATGCATAGCTAGAAAGCAGTTCCACAGCAGTCTGCTGCTGTTTGCATCATACGGCGTTCGTTGCCTCGTGCAGCTGTTTGCAACGTACAGCCAGCTTGAGCAGAGCGGCTCCAATACACAGATCCAGCTTGCGCCACTTCTGGATCGTTTGTGGCAGTCACATCATAAATGGCCCTGAATTCCTCATCCCAATGCTGGCAAGCTTCCTCTGCCGCCTCTTGGCTCAGCGTGGCTTCTCCAAGACGACGACGGCCAGCTTCCTTCTGGGAGTCATTCTTCTTGAGAATGCACTAGTCGGGGTACTGTGGCGCTCTCAGTGTCTGGAACAGCATACCCTCCTCAGGTTGGACCATCCACTCTTGACCAAACTCATTGACATCCTCAAAAACTGTCACTCCATCTCTGCCAACCATGGCGCCATCAGGGAACCTTCCCATCAAACCAACACTGCTACCAAAGTGGCATCCTCTATCTTGACTCTGACCATGTCCTTGAAAGAGGAAACTATGATACTTTCTTTCTTCGAAACTTGAATTGTGAAAATGTGCTCCTTGTCACTCCTTTGCTGGTAAGTTACTGAGTACAAGCCATGACCTACCGCGGTACCGGTAGGCATTTTGGCACCGAATACATCATTCAATTTGTAGTCACCATAGCTGGAGAGCTGCAGAATGTCATCCCCAATCTTGACAGAGGCTGATTCAATGTAGGAGTAGAAGTATCTTGCTGTGCGAATGTGGATAGTGAGTCCCAAGCCATTTTCAAAGTCTGGGGCATTCACCAAAGTAAGATCACATAATTGGGCAGGCAAGAGAAAGCACGAAAGTTGAGGAATACTAGTTGTGGCTAGTGTGAAGGGAGTTGTTTAACAGCAAGGCCCTTTGCGTTGACCATTCACTGGCCCAAGTCTACAATGGTTTCAGCAAACAAGATTGTGAGGGTTGAATCGACAGTTAAAAATAAATAAAACAGATGTTGAGTATGAGAATCGCTACTGTCTTCACACACCTTGAAATGAGGATCACCACCAGTGCTTCCACTGGCCACTTCTGACGGAGCTGCAGTTGGAGCAGCAGTACACGTACGTGTACTGTCACAAAACTCGCGGCTGTTGTTGGCATCACACCATTCAGAGCAGGTCTTTCCACCGCCAAATGTCACTATCCGAGCTACAGTGTCTGACCTGCAACATCCTGCCACCTGCCACATTGTCGATAGTGCAAGGAATCAAAATATCCCAAGGACTTGCCTGATTGGTGCTGTCGTCTTCCTCGCCAAAGAATTTGGGCGCAGAAACAAAGCGACAATTGCACGGCAACTTCGTTCTCTGCTCCTCACAACGCACACGGCGAGTCCTCAGTCGATGGGGCGCACGAACTTTAGTTCGAATGGGTTTCTTGCAGGATGCGGCTCTTTTGACTCGTGGCTCAACCTCGCTGACTTGGAAAGCAAGACGCTCACGGCCGCACGTATTTGAGCAGCAAGCTCGAAGACCAGTCCATGGAACCAATCGTCGTGCAGAACAGTGTAGGAAGGTATGCACAACAATGTTCTTCTTGAAAGCAACGCTGGCTGAGTACAAGATGGCATGAGAATGGCTGCCTTCCTGCCTGTCATCACCATTGGCCCGTGTCGCTCCCTTGTTCGATTCCTTGTGTTCCAAGTGCTACGATGCCCTAATCCTTCAACCTATCTTTCGACGTTGGATCGACGACACGTATCGAGCTACTAGGCAGCTCTCGTCGCAACTCACCATCTTCTCTTGCTTCGGACATTTTCAGAGAAGCCCTGAAATTATTCAGACACCGTAGGTCCTTTGAAGTTTTGATTCTTGCCATAAGCCAGAGTGGCACACTTGCCACAAGCCTGGTCATCGCCATTGCAGCCAAGAGGTGTTTTGCAGCACCTCCAGTCGGTAGAAACCCTTAAAGCAGGATATCTGAGCAGTGGAGTCGAGTCAGCCCTAGGAGGCAGGCCTCCTCCTTCTGCCAATCTTGCTGCAGCCTACCCACAACCAACCACAGTAATGCTAGCTAGCCATAGATATTCCACCTGTGCCGGCACCCCAAGTATGTACCGGTATCGGGGGTATCATAGCTATTGCGAGGTTTTGATTGCCTCTGGAGCTTCCATCAATGGATCATTATGTGGAATTCGGATGACCCTGTTACTGGATAGTCAGATGTGCCCATGCCAAACTTTTCTCTTTGGTGTAGCTTTGTTTCAGAGCTGTTTCAGAGCGTTTCTGTGTGCGGTTGTATCCAAGCCAAGGACCCAAACACCCAAACAATAATATAATGTAAAATAAGATTTAATGTTTACTAGTAGTAGCCAATGACTAATCACAAAAAACTTCACACCCACAACAACATCTTTAAATCTGTGTACATGCCTTTTGAAATCGTGTGACCAATCGTGTAATATGAGCTATGGAGAGCCCCTGAAACGCACGCGGTTGTATTATACGTATAACATTTTCACTATGTATTCTACAGATTATACGTATTACACATATAACATTTTTAATATGTATTAAACAAGTTATACGTATAACACAGATAACACAAGTGGAACAATATTATACGTATTACATGTATTATATGTTGTACGTATTTGACGTATTACATGTATTATGTGTTATACGTATTTTACGTATAATACACAGCGACGATTTTTGCTAAGTTTTTTTGCCAGGTGTTTTCTTAGCAAGGTGTTTTGCCAGGTGTTTGGGAGGCAGAGAGGAAGATGCACTGTTGCAGGCCATAATACCTGACAGCTTATCAAGTAAAATGGACTCTTACCTATCTGAACTCTCTCATGTTGCTAGATACAATATCAATGATGAAGAATGGACTCCTGCTTCCATCATTGTGAATGTAGCAACCTCACTAGCTGATGATACGCCAAAGGAGATAAACATTATGGATACTCTGGGGTTCGATAATTATCGAATGGAGAAATCGACGGTGTATTGGCTACCTTCGATGTATCAATCTTGTGATCCGGCGCATATTAAAGAAGTTTTGATGCCATACTTAGTACTTCCTTGCAAGACTGCTGGATTCCGCATCAAAAACAAGGGATTTGATAAGAGGCGGAATCACATTACCATATGTTGTCCAAGGAGTCGTTTTTACAAACAAAGGTCCCAAAAGGACAGCAACAAAACCACCCAGACTCAGCTTCCTGTTGAGGGGGAGGGTGTCAAATGTCCATTCTTTTCAATGTTCTATATAGCAGGAACACAGACGATGGTATCTACCCAAGTTCCAGACAGGCAACAAGCTTCATCGTGGCCATGTACAACTAGAAGAGGCACAAGTGAAAGTGTTAAGTACTCATCTTGGCACAGAAGCCGTTACACTAGCGGAACAATGCCTAAAGAACCACCTCTCGCCAAGTGTTGTTAAGACTTACTTATGAACGGACAGGCTCATCTCTAACTTCGAAACAAATCGAATCTCTAAGGAAGAGTTTGCATCAAGGAGTTGTCTTGTCTTTGGTGAAGCCAGATGGTACCATCTCTCAAGTACCGCATCTTCCTCGAGTACCGATTCTTCCTCGAGACACTGGACAAAATCAAGTTGAGGGAACCATCGTACTGGACTCCCATCTTTCAGCAGAACAGGAAATTCAAAAACTATGCAACAAGAACCTGGGAGAGTGGTGAGGAGATGGTGGGATTGGGTGGAAGAGAGCCAGACTTCGAGTTACAACAGAGCGATTTTCCACTTACAGATGACTACGTTGACCAGTGATGTTGGAAATTGCTACTGCTATAGATTGCGTGGTGCGTACAAGACATTACTACCAAAGTTTTCCGATGGTTGCCAAAGGTGGTCATTCTGGTGGACGAATATAGAATCCTGAGGAGAAGCATTGGACAAGACACACAGTGAGATTTTGAAGCTGCAGATTGAAGGAAAGTCTGCGCATAGTGGTCAGACTGGTGTGATGTTAAGCTTACCAGAAACGACAAATCAAGAAAGAGTGTCAGGGAAAGGCCATTGACCAGTCCCGCCAAGAAATCAAAAAGATAATCTAGCCATTCCTCAGGATTGTTGGGGTCGAGTCCAAGAAAAGTGTAAGTGCTGGCTTCGGCATCCTCAGCTTCATTCGTTTCCCTCTGACGTCGTTGTGCTTCGGCTTCTGCAGCTATCTCTGCAGCAACATTACCTGCGATTACCATCATATCGCCTTCACAGAGTCCTTTCTTGAAGATTTCCACCTCCCCACCGATCCATCTTCGTTTGGAGGTCTAGAATGATTGTACATGCTAGGACCAACCTTTCGGACTTTGAAGGAGTTAGCACTTTCGGCACTACTCTGTGCAACACCAGGCTCAAAGCATTGGTGACAAAATGCTGACAGTCCAGGATGGTAGATAGGATGCGTGGTGATGGATCCATCTTCGTTTCGGCGCTTCGCGGTCATCGGAATGGCTTCTTGAATACATGTAACAAAGTTGCGGGGAGTGATTTGTTCGGGGAAAAAAGGACCAGGATTGTCAGGGCCAAAGGGAATCCCCTCCTCAGATTCCTCAGCCTTCGTCTCTTCTGCATCATTCTCGTTTGCCCCGTGATCGTCTTGCGGACCAGATTCATCGTCAGAATCCACCATGATGCCTAAACGAAAATACTAAACAAGAAAACAAAAATAGGTGAGACAACGAACACGGTAATACGTTAATAATACAGGTAATACGTATAATACAGGTAAATACATATAATACAGGTATACGTATAACACGGGTGATATGCGTAATACATGTTACATCTGTTACACGTATAACACGGGCGATACATATAATACACATTACATGCATAACACGTGTTTACACGCGTAACAGTTAACACGTGTTGCGCGCTGACTGAGGTACTTACATGGGTTCAGTACTGGTCCTACAGAAAGTGGTTGACAATGGAAAGTGGTTCACAATGGTAGAATTCAAGGCCAGATCTTCCACAGGCTTCGTCAGTGAGCCTTCAGAAGTATATGAATGCAAAGAGAATGGTCCTGTGAGCTTGACAAAGCCTGATAAAGAGAGTGG